TGGATGTAAATTGTTATTCATCATATTTATGATTGGGCCTGGCTTTGTGAGGGTATCTATTTTTTCCATTAATATTTGTGGTAGCCGGTTAGCTGTGCCTTCTGTGGTATTGGGCAGGCATATCAGTCCTCGGCTCCATAAGGGAACTGGGACTGGGGCATTCCCTTTATGGGTATGAGGGTCCTTCCCCATATCTGTGGCAAAGTTTTGTTGGTCTTGGTGGTGCCCGAGGTCACCAACATGGTCAGCAAGAGATTTGCCATGAGCTTTCAGCTTTAGAGAGAGAAAAGTGAACAAGGCATGATGGAGAGTATTTCAGGGGGACTCCTTCTGAGGGGGTACCGTTCCCCCTCTTTTGTTTTTAAAGCCAATTTTTCAGAGTTCTTGTAAAATCAGGGCAGAAGCGCCAACAGTTGCTCCTTCCACACTCAGAGAGTCATGAAGGCCTTATTTAAGGATATATAAATCTATGTTAATAATCTTTTGTCAAAGGACTTTTATAGCTCCACTGACAATCAGACTATATGATATATCGATTAGAAATAGCTTTTTCTACTTTTTTTGAGATTACCTCTCTTTTGTCAATTAACTGTTGAGGAAGTTAGGGTTTACCTCTCTCTTGAGAATATTGAACAGAGATTTAAATTCTTTTGTGGAGAGCTTAAAATAGTATCTTAGCCAATTTGCATCTCCTAGAAACTTTTGAAATTAATTTAAAATAAATAGACTCCCCTTTTTTTAAAATCCTTTATCTGTGTGGGGTTTTTATTGGGTATTATATGTATTTACCTTTCAATGTTGTCTCCTTTCTCATTCTCCCCCCAAATCCCTTATCCCCTACCCCTTCCTCTAATTAGGAGTTTCTTTTCTCACATAAATACTGCGTGGAGTTTGGTTCACTAACTGCTGTAAACTTGACCTTCATCAACACGAAAGCTTTCTGTCTTTCAGTAGTAGGCTACTGCTCTCTTTTAGGTGTGATTTCATTCTGCTGATCGAACAATTTCTAATTGCTTCTCCTCCCTTCACTGATGAGTGGTGGCCCAACATTTCATTAGGTGAAGTCACTCCTACTATTTGATGGTTACTGAGGTACCAAAACTGTTGGACTTCTGTACTGAGAGAGATGTGTTATCTACCCCTTCTGTCTAAGATACACTTATTTAACCAAAGTAGTTATCGGCAATGTCCTTGACATTGAGTCTATGACCAAACTCTCTAGCCTCTAGTGGGTAAGTAGTCAGTATCTTGACAACAGCCTCTAGGTAAATGGGGTTTGTGATTATGAAGACTTCATAGGTAGTATACCACCATTGTTTTTCCAACAGACACATGTTAGCACCTTAGGGTGTGTTAACCATCTATATACCTTGTACTTGTTCCACAGCTTGTTTTGGTTCCTTGCATGCCATGGAATGGACTTCTGTCCAGTCGTACACCTATTGGTATATATTCCAGTTGTAGAGTAGCCTTAGGAGGGAAGGGCCAGGTATGAGATGGAAACCCTCTAGTAGCCAAGTAGCCCCACAAATTTCTATGCTTGCTTAACCATGTAAAGAAGCAGAAAGCTTGTACCTTGTAGCAATACTTTTGTTTTATTATAACAGATAAGACTCAAATATTTCATAAACAATCCAGGTCCTTGGACCTTGTCTGGATACACTTATCAATGTAATGCAATATTTGAACATTCTTTGGTTTGGTCCGTTCTGCTAGGTCAGATATTGTTATCCCATGGCATATTGTGAGGCTGTGTAAATAACCCTGAAGCAACATGGTGAAAGTCCACTGATGGCTTTCCCAGGTAAAGGCAAATGATTCTTGCCTTTCAACTACTATATTGGAACTGAAGAAATCATTGGCCAAATCCAGTACACAGGACACAGTGGTGATGGTTCAGTTTGGGTGTGTTTGAGACTTCAACAGTATAAGAGTGTTAAGTATAGCCAGATACACCTTATTTAATTCCCAGTAACTCACTGTCTGAAGCTATGTCCTTTTGGGGGGTACCCAAGTTTTGGGGTAGGGCATGACAACAAAGTAAAAGGGTTACCTACCTGCATAGTGATGTTTACCCTTCCCCACTCATGGATTGTTTCTGTGATCTCTTTGTGCTTACCATACTCTTAGAAAGTACGAGTATATGACCCCAGAATCAGTGGTACTACTGGCGTGGCTTCTCAAGATTGACTTTGACCAAGACATGTTTGTTTTCTATACACCTTAACCAAAGTTTCCCATGGTCGTTTTCAAGTACCTACCGTATAATATGTTGGCTCTCACAATATATTCAGGGATTATGGCATAGGCCTTTGAGGGCATACGCCCCAGTCTCAAGCTGAGCACTGGGGCTCTTTGTCCACTGGCACTCCTAGTTCCTGTTAAGTGGTTTTCAAACTTACCTGAGTTTCTATATATAAGTGTATATTTGGCCCCAGCGGCTATCTGTATGGTGACTTTGTGTTACAGGGGACCAATATATAGCCAACTCTATATGAGGAGTCTGTTTCAGAAATGTAGAACCTTGGACCAAGTCTCTATTCATTGTTTTCTCCAGAATCAGAGACTTGCTATAATGTCTGAGGCAGGCAATGTAGTTGGCACAAGGATGTGTCGCCTGGTCCAGTTGGTACCCACTGCCTTTTCAGAATAAGGGTTGGAATGTTTTCTTAAGGGAATGATTTCCAAAGTTTTATTGTCCACACTTAACTGCTTATCTGTTTTTTTAAATTGTATTATTGCCTGACAAGTTCATACATGTAAATAATGTAATTTGTTCATTTTCACACACCCCATCCTTCTCTCAGTCAGCCCCCTCCTACTCCCAGCAAATTCCTTCTTTCCAACAAGTTTCCCTCTTATTCCTGTGTCATATGTGTATGTGTTGGCCAGGGGAGAACCTGCTGATTTAACTAGGGCTGTGTGCATTTGGGAGACTTTTCTGGGCCACTGTCTTTTATATTCTGAGTACAGCACACCTCTGTATTTTGTCTCTATCTCTACTGAATCTGTCACTATTTGAGTTCCCTTTTGTATCTGTTGGCATAGCAACCATATGAATACCAGAGATCATACCTGACTGGAGGTACCCAGTGCAAGATGCCATCTTTCATATCTACTGTACAGATCATGATAAGCACACACACACAAAGTCAAAACATACATTGCATGTTCATGTCAAGTCCCTTTAAATATAACTGCAATTCCTCTATAGATGTCTATATTTCCCTTGGGATGGGGATATCTTTAGAGTTGGGCCAAGTATGTCTAATAGCAGTAGTCACATTGTCAGTAGCTCCACACTTACATTGCAGTGACTAGCTGTTGCTGCTGTTGCTGTTGCAGTACTAAGGAGATTATCACCAGCCTTCATGTCCCGCAGTCTCGGTAGGTGGCACATGCTGTTTTTGCTTGAACTTGGCTCTCAGTTCCACTAACTCTAGAGGAGTGGATGGGTGCATTGGGAGATGGGAACAGGCGGATCGTTAGAGTCCTTACCTTCAAGGGGTCTCTATATTAGGTCTACTGTGTCTTGGTAATCTGCTGTGGAATCATGCTTGTGAACATTCAGGTGCCAGGTCAAGCTTCTTTGCTGCTGTGTCTTTGCTAATTGATTTGTGCCACTCTGGCTTCTCTTTCTAACTTGAGTTCTTCTTGTAACCGTCCCATGAGCTAACTGTTATTACCTTGCTGATGGCTCCATTGAGCTGTCCTTATTGTCATCACAGGCAGCAGTGACTTCTTAGGGTTCCTTTTGTTTTCACTTTGCTTGCCTTCAAGTTTGCTAGCAATCACTCTTGTCCTTTTGAGGTGTCCATGTACTCACAGAGTGCGTCCCACATAATGGGGCTACATCCAATCACACAGGGGGATTGGGCCAGCCTGGGATTTCCCTGGCAGAACCCATGTCCACATCCAGAATCTGCTCACTCGGCTCCCCCTTGTAATTCTGCTGACAAGGCCAATGTTCTTAGAACTCTCAGAAGGAAGGCCTGAGAGGCTTTGAGAGTGACAACTGTGTCAAGATACTAAAGAAAGAAGTCAGAGGAGTCCATGGGAGTTTGGACATCTTTTATTTTCAAGCAGTCCTTGATACCATCAGGCTGGAGAACAAGGATCTGCAACATGCTTACAAACAGAGTAGCATCTATACACAGAAGGCACAGAGGGATATTGGATCCTAGTGCTCAGTGCTGCAGAGACAAACTTCCCATGGGTGTGGACTGCATGTCTACCAGGCTGTGCCTGCCTTCTCCATCTTACTGTTTTCAAAGGAGGGAAATGCCCACCCCATCACCACATATGCCTACAGCCTGAAGAACACCTGTAAGAACAGGACGGCTCTTATTTCCTCAGATACAGACAATGGACTGTTCCCCACAGAATCCAAGAGCAGAGACCTTAAAGAAACAAAAGAAAATTTCAGAAATATAATGATTTAGCATTTAGACCCATAAAGCATTGTAATAAGGTCTAACCCTCCTTCAGATGCTCTGGTCTCTTTCTCTAATGAGTCTCCTGCCCTTTCTGTCTCTTGTCTTAATCTGGGTCATGTGACTTTGCCAGCCTTTAAATCCCACCTCTCAGTTTCATATTAACTTCTGGTTTTATTCTGATCACACACCGCTGCTCTCCTTTTGCCCATTCACCTGCGTCTGCACCTTAGAGCTTAATACAGATGCCATTCAAGTTATAAATGATCAAGATGCCATTCAAGTTATAAATGATCAAACGCTTCTCCCCTCACCTGTCCACCCCTCTCCCCGACCCTAAGACACTGGCTCTGAAGTTCTCACTTTTCTCCATGTTATTCTGGGTTGACTCATCCTTTTAGTCTGCCCACCACTTCAGGAGAGCTGTTTTACTTCATAGCTATTTTGTTAGAATGGAATTACCTAAGCAGGGAGGGGGATTTGATCACAGTCTAAAACAGTAAAATACAGCTACAAAAAACCCATTCTTCATTCTCAAGCTTAGAAATGTTGTTCTAACATCTCCAGGTATGACCTAGTGGGTACACAGATGCTGCAGTGCATTGATGGGGAGTGGAACAGTTCCTATCCTACCTGTGAGTCCATTCAGGAAACCCCCAAACCAGCTGAACAGAGTGCACTTGAGAAAGCTATTGTAAGTAGGGGGTGTTATCCATTTTCTTCTTAGCTGTAGTCTCAGGCCTGACATTGCTCTTGGCATGTGGTTTAATGGATATCCGATCAATTCTGGGTAATGGGTTTGAATGGGTAACCTTGACCTGATTGCAGAAGGCATCCCATAAGATGTCAACTCACATTTCTATATAAGAACATTCCCACTCATCACCATCATGACAAACACCTAACACAACTCTTTTATGGGGTTTATTGCCTCATTTGGATATAGAACAAGGTCTACTCAGTGCCCAGTATCTGTTAGGCCTGACGACTATGACAAGCTGCTCCAAGTCTAGATGCCAAGACACTCTGAACACATTTATTTTCATTCGGACTAACTTTAGCCTGTGCTTATCCCTGGAGAGATATTAATGATTATATTTAAACCAGAAAATATAAATGACTGATCACGTTGAGGATTCAGATCCATGTGGAAATTCTCTGGGTTTTGCAGCTTACTGGTTTCAGAGTGGAGAGCTGAACCTCAGCTCCCCAGTTCTAACTTTCTTTCCCTAGCTTGCCTTTCAGGAGAGTAACGACCTTTGCAGTGCCACAGAGAACTTTGTGAGAAGACTAAAGGAAGGTGGACTAACGATGGAGGAAGTTAAATTTTCTCTGGAGATAAAGAAAACTAAGTTGAAGACGGATATTTTACTGAAATATCATAGCTAAGCAGAATGGTCACAGACATACACCTATGAATAAACTGCTTCTAAAGGTGCTTGCTGTTCCTTACTGAGATGAAGTGCAAGGCCATGTGGCCGTATAGTTGACTTACTGTGTGTAATTGTGTGTGGTGTGTCTGTGAGAATGTTACTTAGACTGTAGAAGGGCCGGGTATGGTGGTTATCTCCTTCAGACCAGGGTTGGCAATGTACTTATAGAGGGCACAGAGCTTAGTTCTCCAGCCATGTGGGGAATGAGAAAGGTTGTGTCTGATCTGAGTGTACCTCTCATGAGACATGAGTGAGTGTGCCTCACATGAGACATGAACAGTAAGTCAGAATCTTCAAGAAACAGGAACTAACTTCATTCTGGAAAAATGTACTCCCAACAATTACATCTTTAAAATTGCCCATTGAGTTCCATACCCTGCCTGCCCCACCCTCCCCAAGCACTAAAGGTTATTGCCAATGCCATTGGTTATTTTGACAACTTGATAAGTCCTCATCACTTAAGACATACATGTCTATGGCAATCAACATGGGAAAAAAATCTATCTGGTACTCAACTGGAAGCTTCATCCCTTCTAGATAGTATGCACAGTGCTAGAAGGTGCTATCGATGCTACCAGAAGAGAAAAGGAATCATTACAGCTGTGAACTTGCAAGCTGTAATAATGATCTGCATATAAGATAAGCCCATTTGGTGTAATAGTGGCCTAAATGTTAGGGGAGTAACCAACCACTTTCTGATTGGATTCAAGGCCTGCTTCATGAGATGGTAACCATCTCTGACACTGAAAGTGGCCAAGAACCTGAGACTAGATAGGTCTTAGATCCTAAGGGAAATGTACACTATTATTCTGCTAAAGGAACACAGCAATAAAATGACTCTAATGACACACTGCTATACCCATAGGTCCGTGCACCACTCAGCCCTCCTCAGAGAAACTACTTGCAGTAGATGATAATTTACAGATACCTATGGCTGGATGGATGATATGCAGAGAGGAGGTGGGGGAAGGGGAGAGGGAGAGAGACAGAGAGACAGATAGACACACTTTGGAATACTCAGTCCTGAGTGAGATCTCTTTATCACACCCCTTCCCTTAAGATGCAGGGAACTGTGCAGAAGAGAGGGTAGACAGTGTGGAGATGTCAGAGGTGGTGGATGACTTTAAGGATATTGCATTTTCCAGACACAACAGGGAAGAAGCACATATAAATTCACAAAGATGATGACAGAATGCCAAGACTTGCAAAAGCTCAAGCAGGACAAAATCCCACAAGGTCCACCCCTAGCTGTTCTCGATTGACAGCTGCTGGGAAAGGAGAAATTACTGCTCTTCAATGGAGTGACACTTGGTATACCAACCACACTCCAGGGCAGGCCCATGCTCAGGAGAGGTAGTCAACACAAATCAGATTTGGTATTTTTTTTCCTTTCCTTTTCTTTTTTTTTCTTTTCTTTTGGGGTTTTAGATATAGGGTTTCCGCCGGGCGGTGGTGGCGCACGCCTTTAATCCCAGCACTTGGGAGGCAGAGGCAGGCGAATTTCTGAGTTCGAGGCCAGCCTGGTCTAC